TGAAATTATGCAGTAACAATATAAATTATAATTTTATGAATTATTCAATTTAAATATTATTTAAATAATAAAAATTGAATATTAAAAAATAAAGTATTGTTTTTAGTAACTAAACATCTTAAACAAAAAACATTAAAAATAGATAAATAATTATATAACAAAATATTTAATATTACATAATAACATTAGAATAAATAAAATTCAAATAATGAAAATTTTTAAATATTTTACATATTATTTAAATATTTATATAACAAAGTATAACATGACTAACTTTTAAATAGTTAAAATGACAAAATTATGTAATAAATTAAAAACAATTCTTAAAAGTAGAAAAATAATTATAATAGATTTCATAATATTCATAATAATAATAATTTATTATTTTACAAAATTAATGATTAATTATGTAATAATAGTATAATTATAATTTTATGGATTATTAAATTAAATAAATAATATTGTAAATAACTAATTTCACTTATATTAATTAATAATTATAGAAAATAACATTCAAAAAAATAATATGTGTTAGTAATAATTTTACAATAATAGTGTACATTCACTATAAATTTATATATACTAAAATTAGTAGTTATTTTATTTCAGTAATTATTTATTGTATTTTTGATAAATATGTTTTCATAATTATTTATAAATACATTTTTATTTTGTTATTTAACAGTAAATTGTCGATAATCATTGGAGATTAAGCAACTATTATTTAACTTTTTATGTATTTTATATAATTTATTGATTAAACTATTATTTGATATTACACTATTTATTGACTAATTTAGTATATTTTCAGTATTTATTATATTTTTATTCGATATCTATTGTATTTTCATTATAAATTTATTTTCAATAATTGTGTAGTTTCGCTATAAATTTTTAATAATTATACAAGATTAAACTATTGTTATTTATTAGAGATTAGACTATTAATTTAGCTGAAATGAGGAGTGTTCAAAGATTGGTTCAATTCATTTGCAGGTTGTTTTGCCAACCAAATTGACCTAGTTAGGTCGGGAGTTTGTCACCCAAAATGATTGACCATTAGTGAAAACATACCAACTCGGGTTGTATGAGTTTGGGTCTATTTTTTGTTTGTTCAAAAGATTTAAAATTAAAAATTAAATTTAAATTTAATAAATTACAGTGGTATTATTAAAAAAATTAAATTTATGATATAAAATATTTTAGATTAAGAAATATGGGAAATTGCTAAACCAAAGCCAACGGAAATAATAGAAAACCGACCAACTCGGGTTGAGTTTGATTGGATTGGCTATTAAAAAGCAAGGTTTTCAAATCATCATTGACCTGGACGATTGGACCGTTTGACCCGACAACTGTTCAGGCAACCGGTTTTGTTTTACCCCACACCTGGTCCCTGGCTAAAAACCATTGAATTGATCAACGACCCATTGGACAGGGCAGTCAAACCGTTAACCCATTTAACGGTTTTTGGTCATTTTTTTAATTATTTTAAGTATTTTTTGTCAAAACGAACCGCTTGTTCAAACCGAACGGTTGAACTGTTGACCTTGAAACCGGTGCCCAGAACGATTCCAGTTCTGAATTGTTTTTTGGAATATTATTAAAAAGTTAAAATATAAAACAATTATATACTCTTATATATTTTTATTGTTTAACTTTCGCTTAACAAAACTCGTGCATCGCACAAATACCTGCTAGTAATAAGATATAACTATGCAGGCTCATGAACTAAATTGAACCCCAATCTGATTATCTTCCTTCGTCCTTTTATCATAGTCAGTTTTTTCTTGTCTCTAATCCATGCATTAAGAATCGTCAAATACCGTTTGTTATTAAATTAAAACTTCGATTAAAAGAGCCAATACAGTTTTACCTTAACTTTGAGCGTATGGCTCTTAGTTTTAACCCTTACCCAGAAGGTCGAATTTTGATTCAACCTAAGCTCCATTTTTGTGAAGTTCTGCGGTTCAGTTCCGTGTCACAAAGAGGGATCAATTGATTCAACAACACGTTTGATGGGCACCCTTCAAAGTTGTTTTCCCATTTGATGTCAGAAGGAAAGGTGAGGAGATGATGCCACCACACCGTCGTTCATCAGAGGCGCAGTACTGAGACAGAGTTCTGAGTTCGATCTGATGGAACGAATACTGTGAATACCCGCATAAACCAGTCCCGGCCAATAAATATGTGGGTCCTGTCTTAGCCGTAACAGGAAAGTTTAATGAGGATTAAATGATTAAAAAATTTATTTTTTGTTTTTATTTTAAGCACAATTTATTTCCATTTTGGTTACAAAAGCAATCAACAACAGTCATGGTCATGGCCTGTGCTGTGCAAACAGTCTGCTCGGACCTGGATGTTAACCTCATTTGCAAAACCATCGTCGATTTATTATATATTAATGGTGATGCCTCCCTTCCATTACTGTGATTTTTGCTTTTCCTTTTCCGGTCCCCCCCAAAACGTTCCATGGATCTTCAAAGAGTCAAAGACAGATTGTCCCGGTTGGTGTTGGGTCGGTTTGGGCTTATGGGCCCATTTGAGTAATGAGTTTTATTCGAGGTTCAAACAGCAGGAAAAATATAATCAAGTTAAAAAACCCTAGAGGACTTCTCATTTCCGAATTTATGGTAAGTTATTGGTAACAAGATGGATTGCGTGGGAGGAAGATAGATGTTGTTGCACATAAAGGCATCAAATCAAACGTCAGGTGGTTGGAAATTTGAATTGAAGCCAAACGCATGCATTATACGCAATAGACCGAGTCCGGCCCGGACTCTTGACTCAACCCCCGACATTGTGACGTGTGAACCACTTATCGGAGACCCCATTAGAAAGTGTGTTGAGCCATATTGATATTTATATGAGCTGTTAGGTTTTAGAATTTATACCATGCACGATTATATACATGACATGACCATAAAGGAATAGAAACCAACGCCACAAATCAAAGGTTTCCGCGAAAAGGCGGTGCAAAGTTTGTTCAAGTGCCCAAGTGTTCGTCACACTGATTAATGTTATATCTCAAAGGCATTTAAATTACTATAAAATAGTGTTAGAGATAGAATAATGCAAAGGTGCCAATCAACTGGTTAATTACTTGAAAGAAAATTGAGTGAATTGCATGGGTGGAGTTCTATTTCCCTCCATCTTGGAACATACTTCCCCTTTTTCGAGATGGATGTTTAAGTTATCTCATTTAATATTTAAAAATTTTTTCGCATGCGTGTAACTCACTCAGCCTTATGATAGATCATCGGCCGAGTCCCGATAAACCGATAAAGTATATATAATATAATACTAACTACTAAACAATTTTTTTTTCTTAATTGACAGCGCAAATAATGCAACTAAGAAAATGCTCATGTTGGGGTTTGGGGGTCATCAATTTTATAAGTCAATCTCGGAGGTTCCAACTAGTTGTTTCCTGCCTCCAACCAGGTTGTACTGCTGTAAATGATTTTGATTTAGGAATTAGGAGTGAGCGGCAGGTGGGAATAATGGACCTAATTAAAAAATTAAAAAATTAAAAAAAAAAGCCAGCCAGGCAGCCAACCAGCCATCTTGAATCGTCTCGGTTGGTTCTCTGGAAGCTTTCTGCCTTTACTTCCAAGGAGTCGACTGGGATTCTTTGACCTTATGCTGATGAAAAGAACATACTCATAAATAAAATATTTAAGTAATGTGTGGATGATATAATACTGAATAATAACTACATAAAATATAATAATAAGTGGTAAATTAATATTCGACTATTTTTTTTTTATTTCTTTTTTGAATTCGTTGGATTAGTTTCGGTTACAAAAATCAAGGAAGCCTGGCAAAAGAAAAAAAATTGTGTTCAATAATTATTGCTTTTTTTTTTCCATTACTGCGCAAAAATACATTAAAAAAATAGGTAGGACTTAGGAGGAAGGAATCAAGCAGACAACAATTTGCCAAGTGGCTACCCCCTCCTAACCAAACAATACTGCTTCCAACTGTAGAATATGCAAGCACAATACTATACTTACTCTTAAATACATCGAATTTGGGCTTTGGTGAATGCAAATACTATACATAAGGGGAAACTACACATTTACATAAAGACATTGACCACGTCACTTGTCGACTTCCTTTATTGGCATCCAGGCGGATCTGAGGGATGTGTTAGTAAGTATTGAGCTAACATGGAAGAAAGCGTAACTAATTGTGTTTGTGTTTGTTAAAATTAGATTAAGCCAATGATTAGCTTTACTTGATTTTGGACATCACACATCTTTTACGTGTCTTAAATCACTTGATTTGTTGAAAATAATGGGTTTAGTTAGAGTGCAGGCGTTGCACGGCTGCAGGGTTTCTTTACATGCAACAAAGTTAGTGCTTTGATGACAAAAATGAATATGGAGATAGAGGGTCTATTAATGACAAAAGATACAAATGGTAAGAGGTTCCATTTTTAGGAAGAGTCCAGTCACTCATTGCATCCCCCTATTACCCGGAGTGATTCTTCCCAATCCCCCCCTCTTCTTTCATGGTGTAATGTGTACTACAAACCCCAACCCCCAAACACTACCGGCCACCGATGAAACAGAAGCATAAACCAACTAGGCAACTACGCCCCGTCTCGTCCTTTCTCCCTTATTCTTGAAACTGCCACCTGTAAGTAACCTTTTCAAGTAAAGACAGCCGAGGAGTCTGGATTTGCTCCACTTTCCTTCATTTTATGACAAGTGTCCTTTTAAATCGGAAATCTCACTTCTAATTGTCCACCTGTCACACATCCAATGGAAGTTCAGGAAATCAAATGCAGTTGCCTCCCCACCTTCTAATTATCCCACCACCTTTGCAGAAAAAAAAAAAAATAGAAAAATAGAAAACCGTTCTTACCCTTCTCCGTTTCATACTTCCCGACACGCCCACATGGCAGTCATGTCTGTGGACCCTCAATAAGCCTCCAGCCCCACCCCTTTCTTTCTTTCTCTCTCTCATCTATCCTCTCTTATTTATTCCGGCAGGTTGTATCAGACGACGGCAGTCGGTGTCAGACAACTTTTTTATTTATATAAAAATACCTTACCACTTTTCTACTCACCGCTCCACTTTGTGAACTTAACAGGCTTTCATAGCTTTTCTACACACAGACACAGACAGTGTAAGCAGACGATTCCGAACGCGATAAAACGGCGATAGGCGAAACAAGTTCAGTCGGCTCAAACGTAAAGATAAGTTAATTGAGGATTCTTTTGACCTATGAGCGTACGATGTCAACAACACCTCCTGAAGGGTACACGTTTCTCATGAAAGCCTGCAACCCTTCCTAACATCCCCTCTTTTTCTACAACCCACGAGAACAACAAGACGCCCTCCTCCCCCCACCACACCATCTCATCAGTCGTCACTACCACCTTTCCGTCCTTCTCTTTCTCTTCTTAGTTGGAGATGATGAACACTGCTTTACCGGAGATGTTACATTGTCTACAGACACCGGAAAATCTCGCCGGAAACGGTGCGGACCTGACTGTTTTGGAAAGACAACGTGCACAGCTGAAATGGCTGCAGCAGCAACAACAACAATATCAACAAATATATTTTAGCGAAAGCCAATTCAATGTATTTTTACCTCCGACAACAGACGCACTGCAGCTTCAGGATTTGATCAACAATGATACGACACTTCAGAAGCTTGTGAACCGGTCGATGAAGGCCGACTCGGGTTTGGCAAATGAGTGGCCGGATTTCGGTAAATACTCCACAACCAGTACTGGGTTTGCTGGCCAGGCTACGAGCTTTGCGTCGAACGGGTTAGAACCTAATTCTTTAGCGATGGGCCACTGCCTTTCGAGGACTTCTAGCTGTCCACCGGCGATGACCCTGCCAGATGGAGAAGGGAGAGACTCGGTCTTCATCGCCTCCGTGGTTGAGAGAGAGCGCATGAAAAAGAGAAAAGCGGATGAGGCGCAGAACCCAATGGTTTGTTTCTCTGTAAAACTGTAACCAGATTTTGTGCTCCTACTCTAAATTCATTTCCGCTGTTTTGTCTCTCTCACTCTTTCTTTAGTTTTTTTTTTTTTTTTTTTTTGAACTGTTGCAGCATTCATTTAATGAACTTCTGTCTATAAAAACAGAAATTAAGTAACAGAAGGTTTTCTTTTTCAGATAGTCTTTCATTAGTTCCAAAAAGGATGAGCCAAAGAGATATGTTGATGATGCTTTACTGAATTAACTAATCAATGCTCTTGTGGAACCCAGGTTACTGTATCTGAGGACATAAGAGATAAGCGGGTCAAAGTAGATGCAGAAGAGATGGAATCCAAGATTACAGAACAAAACACCTCCGCCACCATCTCCGACACACCCCCTACGACCACCACCCACAATAGTAACAAGAACGACAACGCCAACAACAACAATAATAGAGAAGCTTCGTCTGACACTTCAAAAGAGAATCCAAAGGCTCCTCAGGTTCCAAAACCAGATTACATTCACGTCCGAGCGCGTCGTGGCCAGGCTACTGATAGCCACAGCTTGGCAGAAAGGGCAAGTGACGGAATTATTATTATTATTATTATAAAAATTGTTCCTTTTATGCAATTTGAGTTAATTTGCTTATTTTGTGTGTAAATTAACTGTAGGTGAGAAGGGAAAAAATCAGTGATAGGATGAAATACTTGCAAAATTTAGTTCCGGGGTGCAATAAGATTACAGGCAAGGCTGGAATGCTGGACGAAATCATCAACTATGTCCAATCTCTCCAGAGACAAGTAGAAGTAATCTCTTCACACTTACACTTGTCGTTGCTAGCTGCAATAATTAATTGTTCTACTTTTCCTTACTTTTCATCACCACATACAGTTTTTGTCCATGAAACTCGCTGCCGTGAACCCGAGGATCGATTTCAGCGTGGACAACCTCTTCAGGAAAGAGGTAATGCTGTGGGGATTGATGAGTCCCCTAGCTATAATTAATTTCCTCAGTAACTAATTCTATTGTTGATCTTTTAGAGTGCACAGACTTTTCCTGCACCTGATTGCACTGGTAATTTTTCGACGGCCGGATTGTCATCGGAAATGGCCAATCCAGCGTACCTTCAGTTTAATCCAGTCCACCAAGTAGTCTCGTTGGATAATCCCCAGGAGATGGCACTTCGTAGGACCTTCAGTGCTCCAATGGCGGTTCCCGCCGACACATTCAACGAAACGGCCTCCTTCACTGTAATTTCTTCTCCATTTGACAACAGATGGATTCCGTCACTTTATACCTTCCTTTTGCTTTCATTGTACGGTTGTTTCTCATGTGAACCAGAATTACAAACAATATTTGCAGCAAGTCCCACACTCTTGTTCAACTTGGGAGAACGATTTACAAGGTCTATACAATATGGGGTTTCATCAGCAAGGAAGATCATCAGCTGGGTTTCCGCCTCATGCATTTCCAGGTAATAACAGTGAATTTTAATTAATTGCTTATAATTACAATTATTATCTTATGTTTTGTCCTTTTTTCCATGTAATCTTCTTTCTATCATCCTGTTTGTTTGACAAGTTGATCAACAAACAAATTAAGATGGAGAAAGCGGAGGCAAGGAGGGTTATGGGTTAAAGGATAGGCCATAAAAGGAAGCCCCACAAAAGAAAATGCCTCAACTCCACAACAAACAAGCTACAAAAGTTCCCTCATGTCATAATCTTTGCAAAATACCAAACAATCTTTCGAGGTTACAGTACAGATATCTACATCTTCTTTTTCTTTTCGTTTCTTCTTCTTCTTAACAATATCACTTCACCTCAGCCATCTCATCTCATCTTTCAAAAGGAAAGTAAGTAGATGAATAATTAATTAAGAATAAGAAGAAAAATATCATGTTAATCCTCTTACCAACGTAACTGTTATGTCAATCTAAAGTCAATGGTTGAGAGGAATCGTCGAATATTGAGTTCGTTTTACACTTTATCCCTGCATCAAAAAAAGTTGTTGTATACTTTGTCCATCAAAGATTTTATTTGTATGGACGTGTATGTAGTGGGCCCTCTGCAAGATCAATGATCAACGCGATCATCAATAATTCTATGGATGCTATAATATTCTTCCATACACTTGATACCCATCATGCAGCAGCTAGCCCTGCAATGGACAAAGGAAGATAGCCAGTATTATTCCCTAGCTGGTAATTGTAGCGCTGTGGACCAGACCAGACTACCAAGGCCCAAGGGCAAGGCTGATGAATTTGTCTAGTCCTGGCCGGGTGGTCTACCACACTACAGTACTGCTTCTAATTACCTAGTTTTCTATCTAGGACAATGGATTCGGACCAGATTAGTCTAGGGATGAAAATTGCTTATATAGATGAATTTGCTAGATTCATCTAAAAATATCTGTACGTTTACTTTACTATTTCGCAGGCATGCCGGAAGCCAACAATCTCAAGATGGAGATGTGATTAATTCCTCCTCAACCCATGAATCATGAATCATCATAGATTAAAATATACCAAAATGCCTACAGCCCGGATTTGTTCTTTCTTTTTTTTTTTTTTTAATTTTCTTCCTCTTTGTCAGTGCTTAAGAAATATTTGTATGTATAGTATACTAGCAGCACAGTAATAATAACAATATTGATCATATGTTTTAGTTAACTCTCAAAATTGTTGTTAATTCCACTTTGGGACAAACAATTAAGCATCCTATGACATGGGTTGATCCTCAGATCTCACAGAGATCTAGAGAGAGAGAGAGAGAGAGAGAGAGGACCACTTACAGGGGATAAAAACGAGTTGATGGAGATGGAGAAGGGGACTGCAAATGAAGAAGTTAGGGGGAAGTATAAATATGGTGGGGGCAAGAGAGGTGGAGCGTAGAGGGTAGGCTTAATTAGGTTGATGAGACGAGACTGAAGGTCGATACCAAGAACAGCTGCTCTGACATGGAAAAAGAAACCGTATATATATATAACGTAAACGTGGTCTCATGGTTATGCCCAATGGAGATCGTCGCTTGTGCATCTCTGCTCGGTTTAGACATCCTGAATAGGATTTTGGACATTCATGACTCAACCGGATTAACATGGATGATTTGCGTCCGATTCGCATTAACAATTCGGCCCTCCTTCGAATGGACCGGACCCAATTAATATGGATAAGGATAGCTGAGTGGGGATGGAGAGGACAGCAAGAGGGTCAAACTGGTTAAGCAGGCAGTTTGACATGTTGCTGGTGTTCTGATAACAATGGCCCTATTTCATTTTACTCATGCCTCGGCTGTTTTTATTTGGAACAGTTAAATCCTTGTTTTTTTTTTTTAATTTTTTTGGCATTCGATAAAGGAAAGGTAGTGAAGCCTCAAAAATAATCCTCAAGGATTATTTCCAAGAGGGAATATCCTAGATTTATCACTTGGCTACCAAGTAATGTATTTACAATAGCTCACTACAATTGCCAAGACTCACTTGCACTAGGAGGGTGCAAATCCGATTGTGGGATTTAGGTGAGGGTTGGTGAACCCTAATCTTAACTTAACCCAACCCAAGCTGTTGAACCCCCAATTTTAACTCTAATCCAATTTGGCATGACATTATTATATACTAATATAATGATACATGCATTGCACATTGTACATGTACAAGTAAAAGGGTGAAGATATAAATTCATATTATATAATTAAATTTAACTTTATATAACATACGCTAAATGGGCATAATTACCATGGTTTAGAAAAATTACCTTTAAGCTTCAATTATATTTACGTTTAAATACATACATAAATACGCACGTATATCCATAAAGTATTTATGAGTGAATCATGATGCCGAAAAAGACATGATACTAAAAAACTTGTAACCAATCAATTGGTATCATAAAATGGGTATCCATTCAGGTTGTATTTTATTTATCAAAATCCATAGTAGTATTGATTAGTCAAAGCTCTTCTGATATCATATCTTTCTAGCAACAAAGATATTTTCAATATTTATACATATAAATTTAAAGTTAACTTGGGTTTGGTTCAGATTGGCCATGATCTCAACCCTAAACCCCAACCCAAAGTTAAATTGGATTGATTCTTCCCTAACACTAACCCAAACTTCAACATTGTGTGTGTGTTCGCGGTTCGGGCTAACCTGTTTCCCATCCCAAATTGCAGCCCTAGCTGGCATGTATCTGTAGATTCTGCACCAACTATTTTACAATGACCAAAGCTCAGTTAACACTTCGTTTTAGAACAAACCCTTCAATTGCCGATCTAGAATCCTTAAGACATTAGGTTGGATCCCAATGTTGAATGAATTGTTCGTGAAGCTGTCTCTAATCTATGCCCTTTGAACTCTGCTCCGCCTGCCGCCTGTCAACCACAAACATTAGCCAGCAGCCAACAGCTGAGGCACATCAGTTTAGCCAGGGAAAGCAATGGCCAATGGGTGTGGTACGTGTGGTTAATTAGATGAAATGACCAGATCGCAATTAAGTTAGACGGTTCAAATGGATGGAGATCGACTGGTGGAAGTGAATCGTTATTTGAAAGTTGTAAACAGCGACACTGTCACCCGAATTTCCCTACCAAAACCTACCCTTGTGTGGAGTTATCTTGAAGCCAGCAGATAAGAGGAACTTTTCAGGCTAATACTAGGGGCCGGCTATGCAGGGGTAGGGGTCCCCCACCCCCACCACAAGATAAAGGAGATCGGCTTCAGTCACTGCAAGACCCGTTCTAACACTGATCGAACAGTCTTTTCAGCCTTGCATCGGGAACATCTCTAAAATTTTATGCTTTATTTCATGGGGAGATATTCCCAATGCAACGCTAAGATAGTTATTCGAACGGGCGTTGCAGTGACTGAATCCCATCACAAGATAGAGATGCCTTGTTACGTGCAGTGCGCCTTCTATGCACTTTCGCGTCCTTGAGATTCTCTAAAAGTAAAACCGGCCTCATCTTTGCTTTTTCCTTTTGTAAGCAAGCTTGGAAAGAAGAAGAAGAAAAAATATCCTTTAATCGGCAATTCATGAGAGAGTTTAATGGTGGATGAGGGAGGTGGGTCCTGGCCTCATCCAAAGGCAAGATCTCAAAGATTCGCTTTTTTAATCCCACGACGAATGAATTGGTGGAGCCTGGGGATGAATTTGCAATTTTCTTTTTCCTGCTCCTGTAGGTGTAGGCCCACATGACATCACATAAGATGATTGGAAACTTCCGAGCCTTGATGTGTTGGATTAGGACGGTCTGGTGGTTTCATCACTATTATGGTGTCAACTTTCTCCGTCCCGGACGGGTACCCGGGCTCCCAACCCGATGAAGTCGGGTATGGGGTACTTTGGCGGGATCGGAGTCGGGGATGGGGGGATCCCTGAATCCCCGATCGGATTTGGGGACGGGGGTGGGGAATGCAATCCCCACCCCGCCCCGGCCCCGGCCCCAATTAATATTATATTGTAATTATATATAATATTATATGTTATATAATTATAATAATTATTCATTTTTTTTAAAGATTAAAACTTAAAAAAAGTAAAACACATAAACACTCGAATAGTAATTAGTAAAACCCTTCGACTAAAAATCCATTTTGAGTCTTTGATAGAGAGAAGAGAGACGACTAAACCCTAACTTTGTCTTTGTTGCTGACTGTTGCCACTCATCTCGTTGCCCGTCAGACATTGGACAGAGGAGAGGACAGAGATATTCAAGTCTCGACCGAGGACAAAGAAGAGATACTCATCTTCCTTCAACCTTCGTCATTGTCGCCCTTGTCGACCTAAACTCTCGCAATGGTCCTCTCCCTCTTTCTCTCTCTCAGTTTCAGTAGCTCATACTCTTAGTCTTTCTCTCAACTCTCGCAACGGTCCTTGCTGCCGTTGCCATCACCCTTGTCCAACATTGACACCCCGTAAGTTTCGATTATGTTTTTTTTTTCCAAACCTGTTTTATCTTCAATCATTTTGTTTTGAAGTGATTACAACTTATTAAATCTCATGGTTGTTAAATTTATCAAATTTTTTCAACATATTCAGTTACAGAGATTTAAGGCCTCAAAGGAACTGTCATAGTGTTCAGGCAACCTTTAAGCTGCTTGTATATCTTCTCTATATCCTGTTGGATACAAGAGAGTTTCTAATTTTTTAATAGTACATAAAAATTTTAATTAAAATAAAAAGAGAGAAGATGGGGAATTTGAGGATTCGGTGTCAAGGTCAGGGATTTCTTTCCCCATCGGAGATCGGGCACAAGGATGGGGGTGATTTGGGGGTCGAGGTCGGGGATGGGGAATGTAATCCCTGCCCCGAGCCCGCCCCATTGCCATTCCTAATCACCATTTACCAATCACCACCCCAAGGGCCCCTTTTTCACACAAACTGGATTCAATCAGTACAAATTCCGTTCCAACACTCATTATAGCCTTGCATTAGAAATATTTCTCAATAAAATAAAATTCTCATTATAGCCCTGTAAAAGCTATTTGAACATCCATTCAAATGGACTTTGCACCCACTAAAGCCAATCTCTTTTTTCACAAGGGAAGGCAAGACAGGATCTGCTCCTCACATAGGGCACCTCACATGCATATCCTACCATTCATTGGGAACATCTCCCGTCCTTATTAAGTTATTATTCACGGGGAGATATTCCCAATGCACGATAGACGTGCATGCAAGGCACCCAAATGTGAGGAGCAGATCCCCGTTCGTTCCAGGGAAGGCAGGCTTCATTCCCACGTTGTTGTCTAGACTACGTCAAAATTCCCAAGAATTCGAATTCGATTCCATCTGCCCTAACCCCCGTCCTTGGCATTGGGGGGAACTCTAACCCTGTGGAAACTTGTTATGCACGTACACTAGCCAGGTAGGAATACTTAAGAGGTATATGGTATCCGATATGGCACGTTGAGCGGTGGCATGAAATGATCTTTTTCATTTTACTACTGATTATTGATTATGATTCGATCGGGATTCGGAACTAGCGGAATAGGACCCTACCTACATAAGAAGTAGGATAGTAGGATCGATGTGAATTGTGAAGCGAACCCCTTGGCCCCTGTGATGATATTATATCCTAGCACAGTAACTGGATGAGCATCACATTATCACAACTGGGAACTGGGCATTTAATTTCTAATTTCTAGCTGCAAATAGAAACACAAGTACTGGGCCTAAAATGGTGTAGAACGTCTTTTGCCCAACAAATTAAACCCAGTTGTAGGAAGCCACGTGCCCATTGGAATCCTTTGGTCGTAATGTCGTATTATCGCTCAGACGAGGGCTCCATCGCTCATTCCCTCCTCACCTCCTCCTTGGTAAAGTATATTAACAAGTTAAACACAACCTCTTGCCATATTGGCCAAAGAGAGCCACTTGTACTGCGCATCATCTGAACTGCTTTCAACGCATCAAAAGTTGTAACAAAGA